ATGCATCACTGATCAAGCAAAAGGTGACCAATATTATTCAAAGTTGAAAATTTTAGGTTTTTTGTCTTAGCAATGTAAACCTCTAAGAAATACTTTCATTTGATGTCAACATACAGCAATTTTAATTTTTTTTACTGATTTTTATCATAAAATTTCATGAAATTACTACATTGACTTTTGCGGTCATATCATGACCTCATGTCGACCATTACTATATTATGTTTCCACTAAAAAAAGCGTTTTGTAAAAAATTATCTAAAATCTTTTAATCATCAACAAAATAACAGAAAACTTGGAAGCATTAACTTCTAAATACTTATAAGTTAATAAAACTTTTAAGCGCTGAAATTTCAAATTTGTAGTCATGAACCTGCCTTATTTGCATGGAGCCTCAAGCATTTTGAATCTTTTGTCAGCAATGATAAGTTTTAACATTTAAGATCAAAGGTTGCATGCAAATGCACTAGCACAACAAGGATGATATTAAATATTATTGTTAGAATTAAATATTTAAAATATTATTACTCTATTGTCCTTACGAAAAAGCTATCTTATATCACTAAATATTCTATTGCTAGCGCTAGAAAGAGTAAACTTTGGTTTCAGTCAAATCTCATTCTAGAAATAAACATCGGTACTTAAATTCAAGTAAGTTAATGCTGTAAGCATTTTCAAAACTTTTAGTCTTTAAAAATACAAAATGCAAAAAAGGAAAAAAGCCGAATATTAAACCGAAAAAGAATATTCTGGCATAGCTTAGCAGTATAATTCGGTTCAAACTATGCGAAATTAATATAAAAAAATATTTCACCAAGGAACTTTTGAATTTAAATTAAACTAGAATTTAAGATCAAAAATAGATCAAAAATTAAATAAAGTTATTTTTACTTAAAAGAAAACTTGGCTATTATGGCTTATTAAGTATATATTTTCTATAAAAATAACTTGCAGAAATAATTTTTTACTGAAGTTATTTTATCCAACTTTTTTGTGAACAAATTTTTGGCAAAAAATTGAGTCACTGGCAAAGTAACAAATTAAAAAAATTAGCTTTACAATAAATTTATATTCTATAATATTTGTCGACAAACTATCAATATTGAAAATTTAATACGCTATGATGTTTGGTAAATTGACAATTATTCCAACCATATAAACATTGAAATTTATATTTTATTGACTTTAAGAATAAAAAATAAGTATTAAATCACACTTTAAAGCCATCACCAATCATTTATTTCGGCATGAACATATTACATGAAAGCATTAAGTCTTTTACATATGAAACAGGCTTATCATCATCTAATATCACAATTAAAAATCTATTGTCTACATTCCAAAAGAAAACACGTAGTAATTAGATACTTGCTCAAATTATCTTGGAAGCATTGAAAATGAAGCAATATGACACATATTGTTTCTGTTTCGTGCTATAAAGGCATATCCATTCATTCCCCATCTAGTTCCCCAACTGAAAATTTAATTTAATTCAAACTATTCCAAAAATTCAAAGAATATTTCAATTGCAAATAAAATTTTGTAAATGAAATCATTGTAAGCAGTCATTTATTGACCTTTTTAGCAAATAAATATTTAACTAATTGTTTACATCAGTTATAATTATTTGAAAAGTTGTGTAAAAAAATAAATCGACCTGTTTTTGATAATCCAGTAATCACCGTATCTGCGATCAGTACCGTAACCAACGACCAGTACTGCGTGATTTGGATAACCACAGTAGCGATCGGCATAAATTCCTGAAGAACTGTACAGTGCCTCTGTGTGAGTGAAAAGGTGAACTACTATTATTTCGAATTACGTATGATTAAAAATTAGTCACTTCAATAAAGTCAGTAAATTAAATCTATGATAAATGCAATTTCAATTACTTTAGTATTAGTGATCTATTTGGCCTACATACAAACCATAAAAATGATATTTGTTCTTTTTTGTAGTTTTCTATCTATATTTTTTATGATGTCTGTTTTACTGTCTGTATTTCGTGATTCAGCGATAAAATTTATTAGTATTCTATTTTAAGCTAAAATGGCAACGAAATATTTGTAAAAATATGAAATTCGAATTGTAAAAGATTAGTTATATTTTATTACATGATCAAAAATAAAAAAACTTTAAATACTCTGATTCTGAGTTAATGTAATTCGTAGTTGCCAAGTGATAAAATGTTAAAAATGCTTAGGAAGATTAGAAATGCATGATTAATAAGTTCTTGAAGATAGATTCAGTACCTGAGCGGTAGAATCTGAAACTCCACCTGCTCGCTGCAATAGCAGCAACAACAGGTCCTGTTTTGGCTACAGCGTGCTTCAAAGCTAACTCGTCACCATAGTTAACTTGATAGAATCCCTCGTCAGTTGCCTCAACGCTGTTCCGTCTCCAACGGCAATAATTCTGTGTATAGTATTCATACGGATAATTACCATTTGATAAAACTCCATATGTTCTTGCATATGTAAATATCTGAAAATGAAAGCACTTGGCAAGAATCACTTTGTATTTTATTTTAACATTTTGTACTATTTTTACTTAATCATAAAAAGTTTTTCCACGATTTTGAATACACTTTTTTTAATCAACAGAGTATTAAAAGTTTATGTGAGTCAGAAATTGGCTTAAAATTTTTTAATTGTTTAATTATCATTACTACACTTTTTAAATATATAAATAATATGCTAAAGTAAAATAATTTGATGTTATTCTTAACAATTATGTTACGTACGTGTAGGGTAGTGCTCGAAAAATACATTTACTTATTTTTTGAATTTTACGGCTGTTAAAAATTGTAGAGGTCATGAAAATACCAACATGTTGTGGTAATAAAAACTTCTGTAATATAACTGAAGTATTTTGGCAAAACTTTAATTACCGTAGCCGTGAAACCACCTCTGCAACCTTTGTTCCCGAGATAATTCGTACAATCAATAATATTTTGAGGAGATAAATCAATTAATCTTCCTGTTTTAAGCCTATGATATGATTCTAGTGCTCCCAAAGCAGCAAATGCATAGCAGCTACCACAATCCCCCTTTAAGATATTAAAAATTTGCTGATTATTACAAATTATTTAAGATTACTTTTTTAAAAAGTAACAATTTTTTTTATTTTTTCATCGACGTCATTTTAAAAGTAAGTGTCGTAATAAGATTTGTTACCATACATAAAATCTTACTTGATTTTTAACTGATGTAACAATATTATGCCTCCGCCAATCAACATAATTTGGTAATTGATCATATCGGTTATACTGATAATAGTATGGATAAGCTTGTCGGGTGCTTCTATTCCGTGGATGTTCAACATGATTAAGTATTTTCATACCACTCATTCTCAAGTATTCCTCATCAGTCTATGATTTAAATATAATAACAAAGCTTCAATTTTACTAAAAAAATAATGTGGCTTATATTGACATAGTTTGAAAAATGAAATATTTAAATTATTTTAATCAAATATCGAATATTTGTTATTTTTATCAGCAAATTATTCAAATTCCTGTTGACGAAATTAAAAAATTTTCTGAAATTTTTAATTATAGTTTGCTAACCAAATCGGCGAGATCGTTTAACTTTGTCAAATATGAAATATTTCCTTGCCTATACAATTTATTTTTTTCTGCCACACGAATACTATTACTTTCAAATATTGCCATTCGAAATTTATTTTCATTTTTATCGTATTGTTTGCCTGTAAAAGCATTACGTTATTCTTTTGCTTATTATATCTAAAATAATTACAAAAATATTACCAAGTTTTTTAAGGTAATTGTTCCAGTTCATTTCCAATTGCTTTAAAATTTTCAGCCCTCTATTTTTCGTGTAATCATCCCCTAACTTTTGCAAAAATTTTTGTAAAATTGAGCGTCTTTTGCTGAAAAAAAAAGAGTTTTATTGAATACAAATAAAGTATAATAGAATTTATAGTTTAAGAATATTAAACTACTTGAATCAGCTACTAATTTCGAGTTGAATTTTTACATCAAACTTTTTTGTCAAAATTTGGCATGTAAAACATTTACTGTTTGACAAAAGTTGAGTTTAGTACTTGACTTCAGAATTCAAAAAATAAATATTAGATCATTTCTTTATTATTTAAAAACTTTTGTTATGGAACTCAAGTAATTATTTATTAATTAGCTGCAGCTTTTTAGTTTGATTAACTTTGTTGAAGATTCATTCAATTCTTCAATCTGTCTCATAATTTAACTAAGCGAACTCTGCATACAGTCATCAAAAATGTTTCCATGGAAAAAATACTGATTGATCTAATTTGTAATGAATTTTTTGGAAATTAATTAGTTCCTCATTAATCTGCACAATAGTAACTTTAGCTGCGTTCTCACAATGAAAAGCTATAAATTGAAGGGAATGACTTGCATGAATTCAACAAATTAAAAACACTATTCATATTTGAAATTCTTTTCAAATATAGCTCAGAGATCTATTTAAAATTGGTTTAACTTTCCATTTTAGATTTTCAAATTAATAGGTAATAAAACTAGAAAAAAGCTATTGATGATCGAAGTAATCAAATCTTATCATAACATTTAGATTTGAGCTAAACCAATTAGATTTAGTCAGCTAGAATTCCAGGTCAACATCATACTCACCCTTGTTGTTCTGAAACAAAATTTATTATTTTATCACTTCAAAATAAAATTTTTAAAATTCTCTGACATTTTGTTTACTTTTTTGTAATGGTTTTTAATACAAAATATCGTTTGAATTATTTTCAAATGAAAACTAAAAACTCAGTTCAAACAAAACTAACCGTTGTATTTTTGCGAGGCGTTTATGAAGTTGTTTTTAAGCTTCTCAATATCCCCTGCCTTATAATTTTCTACAAAATCAGCCAAAACTGTCGCCATCTCTTGCAGTTCTCTACAAACCAACTTAAAACATTAATCTGTTAATAGCCATTGTTTCAAAGAAAATTTTGATATTTCATTTGATTTGTGTAGAAAAAAATTCTTATAACACTCAGTTATTAACAGCCTTACTTCTGATAAAATTTTCTCAAATTGATCTAATTTATATATTTTAATAGAAAAAATAGAAATTGCAATGAAGGAATTTTTCAATTATTTTTCACTATAATGAATTAGTAAAATGAAAAAATGTATTTTTTAAAATTTATTTTGACTATTATCCATTTTGTAAAAATCAGTAGATTTCACGTTAAAATCTTCAAAGATTTTCACTGATCTCATCATATAAGTTTTTGGCGAGCTTTTATAGTATGTTGCAATCATTATTGTTGTAAAATTTATCCGTTTTTAAAAATTTTCTGAAAAATAATATTTGTTATGAATTCTCATCGCCACTCATTGATGTCTACAATATAATATTTTTGCAACAACACATAATTGAAGAAGTTTTTGATTCAAAAACGAATCTTAAATTATGAATATTTTTTTTGATGTCCTAGAATAATTCACTTGTAAATTGTAACTGATGGTAAGTATATCATCTGAAATGTTATTTGAATTGATAAATTATGATTAAATTGTATAATAAGTCAAAATATTTCTAAGCAATTCATATCATAAATAAATCTCTTTCTTATTATGTTATTCTCTTTTTCTACTTGATAATAGTGAAGTTTTCAATAACTTATTGATGTATTTTTATTTGCACAATTGTTTTAAACACTGTAACAGTGATTATAAATAAATTTAATGCTTTCTGAAACTTTTATTGATTTAATCAAACAAAAATTCTTTTGGAATTAAAGATAAACATTTGGCAGTAAATTGTAAAATGAAAGTTGTTATAGATTTCAAAATGTGATGTGGTAGTATTTTTGAGGTTACATTCGTAGTCAGTTAAATAATAATTCTTATGGGCAAAATTCATTTACTGTATGAAATGTATTAAAATAATATATTTAATTCAGAAGTATTTACCGAGATAAAATCTATATGAAACATTTTGTTCGGAAAAGATATAAACTAACTTTTTACGAATGGCAAGACTGAGATGGATAAATAGGATGAAAGTAAACGTTAGTAAATTTTTAATCCAAGGCATATCCACGTGAACAACGAAACTAATTACTGTCATTGCCTGTGGCTTAAGTATGATGAAGGATGTGTTAGTACAGCTTTCTTCAAAGTTCAAAAGCAGTTGTTGACGATTTTATTTCAGTTTTTTGAACTTTTCTATTCAAGCAGTTATTTATTTAAAAGCAAAAACTTCAAAACATCACAGAAATTTACCGTTAAAGTAAATTAGCGCAGTTCAAGAATGCTTCACGCGATGACGTTTATTTGTTTTCATACAAAAGTAAACTTATCATCGTCTCTTTTCAAATAATTCTATATTTTTCAAATTAATAATACAAAATTAAAATAAAATGCAAAACTGGAAAAGAGGACTGACAAGTGAGACTGTTTTCATATCACTCATCAATTCAGTGGTACTCAAATACATCAGCAATACATAACTATTTAATTATCACAGTCTTATTTTTTTTGTTAAGTTTTGCTTTGCTCTGGTAGCACTTACTTGTACACTTATTATACATGCATAGACAAGTGTTAATTTTATTTTTTACAAGAAATAAGAAGTTAATTATATTTATATTAAAGGTTACTTTGAGCAAAAATAATGATCAGATTCAGAAAAATATCTGAATTTGCTTTAAACAGACTGAAAATTTAATAAATTTGTAATTGGCAACAATAAGTTTGTGTCAGTACTTTTATAAAAGTACTGCAAGAAATATTTATCATGGACAGATTATTTTAGAAATGGTTTATATAAGAATTTTATAATTATAATTTTTGTTTCTTACTTAAGTAATTATGATTGCTTAATTACCCCTCTTGTTGCTATTGAAAGTTTGTGTTTTTAGCTTTTTTCCATTAACTAATAAATCCATAATAAATACCGGTAACAGAATACTATTTTTAAAATTTATCATAGAATAAGATAGACTTGATTTGAGCACTCAGCTAGTAACTTAATCGCGTTGTCCGTATAAATAACAGTATAATATAATATAGAAAAAATTTTATGGCTATTAATGAACAGACGTGATAACTTTTCGGAATTTTTTGGAATTTTATAAAAAATTATATTAGATAGATGCTCAAAAAAAAAAAAAAAATTAATTTATAATTTAAAGAACGATCGAATAAATTTAATTATATTTACTGGATTTGTTTTTTAGTATTTAACAAACTTTCAAAAATATTACAAGCAGAGAGCATTTAAAAAAATTCTTCTCCAAGCTATTTCATGAAAAATACTGAAATTAAACAATTATTTACTTTGACACTGTCAACTTTGCGATTGATTAAGTTGAGATTAAAAATGATTTGAGCTAATTTATTGATGAAGACCGCTAAGGTTACTTTTAACAATTATTTGAAATATTGTTGTAGTTATTGAGATAATCTAATATTAAGTGAGAGTAAACAATGATAATGATTACTTCTGATTCCATTACTATACAGCATTTATGACTTTTCTAACATTCTGTTCTGTACAATTCTATTATTGCAGTCTAAGATTAAACAGACAATTTATTCTTTGCTAAGATAATAATTACCTTAAATCCAAATTGAGCATCACTTCATCCACCGCCACCTGCTACGGCTAATCCCTAATTTCTTTTGCGCCTTAACGTTCGTTGCAAGTGTCAGAGGATTTTCTGTCGCTGGTAACACGTGAAGTATGCGAATTGCTCTATTGCTAATCATATTTCAGCTAAATTTCGAAAAACAAAAAAAAAAACTTGTTAAAATTCACTATTTTGCTCGTCTCAGGCAATCATTTCTTAATCCTCGCGCAATTATTGCTGAGGTAATCGTTTTTTGGTACTGAGCGGGGGAGATGCTTATCTTTCCTCCTCCATAAATGCACCTGTTGACTTCTCTGATCGGTCATCTGTAATGCAAATCAACCAAATGAATTAAAAAACAAACTATCTATGAAATTTGCACTAATTTATTCATCAGATAAATTATTAAACGTATTCTATGTGCTTATTGACCTTTTAAAATGTTTAATATTTTCTCTATGTATTATATTACTGTATTGTATTTCGGTGTTCTTTTGAATTCAATATTGTGATTACTCAGCTGAAAATTATCATTTCAAAGTATTAAAAATTTACATAATCCTTTCTTGCCCATATTTAATATATTATGATGTTTTTGCATACAATCAAAATTTTCAAAAAACCACTTTCAGTTAACATAATTAAAATTCCGAAACCTCTTTAGAAATTGCTACAAAAAATTATTCTGATAAAATTTTGATGTAATCGTTTTCTCAGGTAATTAATAAATCGCTCCAATTTTTTTAAAATGAAAATGCGACTTAAAATATTTGTTAAGTCAATTTTTTGAATTATGAAAATTTGTCAACTTTACCGTAATTTAACAAATTTCTTATGGCAAAGTATATGCTGATTCGTGCAAAATTTACCACAAACTAAAAATACTTGATGACTCATTAAATATATCATTATAGATATTCGAATGCTCAAATTTTTACGGGATGCAAATGTCCCTGGCTACGTTTTCATGTCTTATTTAGCTAATAATTCAAAATATTCATCAACAAGGAGGATAATAATTACAGACAAACATCATCACTAAATTTTAGATCTATTCACCTTTTCTGTTTCAGTGTGAGAAAGAAAAAAATACAATGACTGATAAAATTCATAAGCAAGAAAATTTTCCATAATTTTCATATATATATGTGTACATTTGTTACTGTAATTGATCAAATCATCAGAATCTGCCAAAAAGCCAGCAAGTGTGATCAAGAAAATATAAAATTGATGATAATAAAACTATTTATAATATTTAGCACTGTAACTCAATCAGGAAGAGGAAGAGGAAGAGGAACAGGAACAGGAACAGCATCAGTAAATTTTTAGGAACAAAAAAATAGTTGAAATGGATGCATATTATTTATTTCAGAAAAACAACATAATCAAAATGAACAGAACAATCACCAAGACTTAAACTAATAAGCGAAAAATTAGCAATCTGAGCTGATCTTTTTATTCGACTGATTAGTAAAGTCTAAAACGATCAGCTAAATCATTTTTATCGCAAATGCCTGTATTAAAAAATTTGACTTTTATGTAACTGATTTTAGGTAAAAAATAACTTACATAATAAAACAATCATTCTTATTTAAAACTGGAAATTATAATTTTTTAATTTTTGGTACGAGCACTTAATTTTCAATGAGATTGAACCATTTTCATTGAATTTTATATCAATTAATGAGGCAAAATTTTTATTGGGACGCGAGATTTATGTGCTTTGTATATATTTGAGTGTTATTTATTTTTGTTAATTTTGAATTTAAATAATTCAAATAATCGATGTTATACTTGTGTTTTTTTGATCATAAGACAAAGCTGAAAAGCTTTAAATTATTGAAGCTGTTGGCTATTTCAGAAGTAAGAATCTAAGCTTCTATAAAATTTGTGTTACGGAAAAAATTCAGAAATGAGTACTCTGTTGGATCCGATAATTACTGCTCAATAATAATAATTTGAGTACTATAAAAAGCCGTGTTAATCGTTTTAGTGGTTGCATAATCTCGTGAGTAAACTTCGGCTTTCTTTACTTGCCGTGAGGTGAAAAAAAATTAATTGTTGCAAAGGTAACAAAAAATGCTACCGACTCAAAATCAAAATTAACCCAAATGCTAAAAAAATTATTACAAATATGATGATGTTTGGCTAAAATGAAAAATGTTAGAAAAATATGAATAATTTATTGCAAGAAAATGCTGAATAAATAATGTGCAAATATTGTCTACTCAGCGCTACTACTTACAGATACATGGAAAGTGTTTGATCAATCTCTAAATTTTATTTTATAAATTAGAAAAGTTCATTTTATTTGGGAACTGCTAAAACAATATGACAATGTACAACTTTTTAAAACAGAATAAAATTGCTAATTTTTTATCTAAAAAATGAAAATATTTTTTAAAGTACCAAGTATGGAGACCAGAAATTTGCATAAAAGCAATTATAAACAACTAATAAATTCAAAACTTGCATGTATATAAATTATTTTTAGGAGGGAGTTAAAAAAATTTTTCATGCATATCCTTAATTGCATAAAATATTATATTTCCAAATTGCACAACATGAGTTTATCATTATTATGTTGTCCATTAAATACATTCTATTGTTGTGACTAATTAATTTGGGACAATAGTATTGATTAGATCAAAAATAATATGGAAGGAGAGAAATCAGTTGAGAATAAGTGGTCATTACTGGTAACTTAATGGCCAGGTGCAGCAAGGTAAGTAAATGTGAAAAGTGGGAGGACAATAGTTATTTAGATGTAGCGGACTAAAATACCAACAAATTGACTTATTTTTGGCAGGAAATAACGAAAAAAATTATTTTTGGAAGGCAAATTATTCATTTTAATTAATTTAGAATATTTGAATTCAGTTAGACATTTGAGAGCCATAAAAGTATAGTTTATTATTATTAATAGTTAAGACTTCATTTTTGCAGCTAAGCATTAAAGTCAGAGGTCACCTGATTGAGCAAAGACTGCACAAATTAACTTTGCAACCTTTGTAACTTGAAATTAGTTTCGTTCAGTTGTAGTAATGTAAGCATTGCTCAGTTAATTGACTTGTAGATTTTTGTAGCTCTCAAAAAATAGTGTTATGCATAAATCTGTGCTAAAACACAGCAATTTCTTTTGCAAGATGACATTGCTAAATTTGCGTTTCAAGTGTGATCAGATGAGATTTCTTACTATCATATTTTATGACAAAACGAAACTTACATCAAAAAGCAATAAAAAACTGCTGAATGAAAATTCGTTACTCCTTAAGTAGACTGTAGGAGCATTAATGACTTTAATAGAACTTTAATAGCAGATTAAAAATTAAAACATTGGAATATTCAAAACAAAAATTGGTAAAATAGGCAAATAAAATTACTAGCAATCACAATAAAAGTTTTCATGCAAATAACAAACAAATGAACTTTAACCCAATATCGCTTTGCTGGTTGATCTATGTACACAAAAAGCATTCATTGTACTATAGCTGTATCTGTATGACTTATAGAAATGGCATCCAAAAAAAGGAAAAACTTCTCATATTTCAACACACTAACAAGGAATACTTATAATTACTATTCCACCATCATCTCTACCGTATACCACAATCATGAAAAATGATTCCTTTTAAAGCCAAAAAGCCAATTAATTAAGTCAGCTGACCGTCAAATCATAATTTCCACAGATTTTGAAAGAAAGCAAAAATGAATTCAATCAATTTTTTTACAAATTTATTCTATTCCAGTTTTTTTCTCCCTGACCATTTTCTTCTCTTTTTTGAGTTTTATTTTTAAAATTTGCAATTTTCTCTCTCTACTCAATCGTATTATTTTGTCTTTTTACAACTGCCTCCCTTCCTGAATTATTGAATGTTTCTCTCTCTTTCCTCTCCATCCTTTTATTCTTAATCAAATATACGGTATGTATGAGGCGGAGTTAGTGCAATTGGACACAACGAAATAAATCTAGGACTGAATTATTTTGTGTGATCTTTTACGTTAGATATACTGAAAAAGCCTTTAGTGATTAAATTTGATCTTTTCATTAAGAATTTCTCCGAGTTTTGTCGAATTTTTTTTTTAAATAATTGAAGTTTGAAACTTTAATTCTGGTAAACAGTTTGCAAAACTGAATTGTAAAATAATGAAAATAATTTCTGCTTGCTATCAATACTGAAATGTTTTGTTCGTTATAGTTTTGAAGATTTATATGTAATCGATTATAACTGATTGATCAGAATCATTCAATGGCTCAGTACTATAATGGGAAGTTTGACTGTAGAACAAAATGATCCTTGCTTATTTCGCTTGGCTGCAGCTTTTTCATCCGATCAGGTCTCGTATGTTTGCTAATGTTTGAACTATTTGAACTCACAAATGAATAAAATATTCATTTGACATAAATATGTCAGCTCTCATACACAAATAAATGTTGACAAAAGTGAGAATAAAATTTGTTTACATATTAGAATCAAATAATAATTTAAAAAATTGCAAACAAAAAATATTTATCAAAAACTGAATTTAGCAAAATAAAGTCTTGTGACATTACGTGTAAATATTTTACAATTATTAAATATATCATTTTAAAAAATTTTTGACAATTTTTGCTAAAACTTTTTTATTCTATAAATGCTTATAAGTTTTATTTTTGAAGAAAACCTTATTTGGTAGAAAACCATTAGCCCGTATTTTGAAAAATAAAGTAGTCAGTTGCACGCTATTAAAAATATAAAAAAAAATGTCAAATTGTGTTTTTTTGCAATCAGTTTAAAAGTTAGAGAAAAATATTTTTTTAATAAAATTTTTATAAGATTAACTGTTGTACATGCATTACACTTTTTGAGAGCAAATGATTTTTGTTAAGTTATCGTTTGACAGATTCAGATAGATTGCATCTGTGAAGCTCTTTATCAAGCTCGTGATGGTGAAAAGTTGCTAGAATTATTTCAACCAAATGTAAAAAGTATTATGATTTACCGGTGCAGATATTTTTCAAGTTCTGTTCTTCGTGCCTATTTATATGCATTATATTACAGTAAGCAATATGAAGAATTATTTCAGGTGACCTTTTTACTTTTGTCTTTTTTTCTGAATTTAATAATAAATATTTATGAAAACTTGATTAATTATGAAAGTTATGATTTCAAATTACTGCTTATTTTATTTATTAGAAAACAAATAATGTCAGTTATAAATTTCAATATTAATTCCGCTATTTAATAGCTGAATATCTCTACCAAAAAGTAAATTACTTCTTATTTTTCTTCAGTTTTTCTTCACAATCTTTTTTTCCCTTTTTTATACCTTAAAAGATCATTTCAGTCTCAAAGTGCCAAAAATCAAAGTTAGAATAAAATTTTTTTAAATTCTCAATTTTTGTTTTAAACTATGTCTGTCTTAGTTTCATTTGAAAGCAAAAATTTATGCAAAACATACAGATTTTTGTTTAAATAAACGTGAGGTATAAGCCAACAAAGGACAATATTGAAATTTTCAGTGTATCAAATTGAAAATTTGTTGAAACTTTTTGTGTTTGCAATGCATATCAAAGATAAAATCATTAAAAGTATACAGAAATCCAAAATTTTTGTTTCAGACTATCGCATCGAATACATTTGAGCAAAAGTTTTATAGCGAACTGCAAGATTTGTGGTATAAAGCACGTTATGCAGAGGTAATTTAGGGTACAAAATTTTGGTTTTTCATTTGTCATATTCTATAATTGAGTGTATACGACATCTGTTACCTAATTACCTGATAATTTTTTCTCGAGTATTACTTAATCACTGATTATTGTTAATTAATAATGATAATTGCTGAGTATTTTGTATTATTTCCAAACTTTGTTACTGAGTCAACATTCTTATAGCATTAAACTTAAGTATTTGTTATTAATTAAATAAATCTGAAGCTAGATTCACTATTACTGTAACGTAAGATGATATAATGCGCATAATATCATCATATATGTATGATATTTATATTAAGTACTTGGTTTGATTTTTACAATTTATATTACTTTATTACTTGTTATTTTAATATAAATGTTTAAATGCAAAATTAAATCTATTTTAATCATTTTAATCGTACTGAACAGTCAGTATTAATTGATAACTAATATTTGAAGATTTACTTTACTTTTGATTTTTTATTTAATAAGCTGATCTGCGCTTGTATCAATAAAAGTACGCTGATTTTTCTGAACCTATTCAGTCAAAAGATGGAATCATTTTGTAGAATGAAGAAAAGCGTCACAAAGAATTAGGCGCTGTGGAAAAATATCGTCTGCGGAAAAAACATCCCCCTCCGCGGTCTATTTGGGATGGTCAAGAAACAATTTACAGTTTCAAGGAAAACGCTAGAAAGTTAAGGCCTAAAACTACATTGCGATTGAATGGAACTTCCATTTTTGCTCTAAGATATTGCCTACCAAATTTTTGAATTTCGCTGTTCGATTTGGCCTTTAAATGAATTCTCATAATAAATGATATTTTTTACCTTACAAATTATAAATGAAAACTTGATTTTTCAGGAAATCAAACTAAAAATTTGGCATATTTTGTAAGAACTAACGAATTTCAAGTGAAATCAATTTCTATTTAATTTCAATGCAGAAATTAGTTGATACAATTCTTTTTCAGATTCTTCGTCAGTTTTATAAAAGAAACAAGTATCCTACGCTTGAAGATAAGAAGGAAATAGCACGGGTAACTGATTTAAAGGTCGTTCAGGTCAGTTTTAAGGTGTTTCTCTTTTTTAACGTCACTGTTTGAACACATTTCAAAGTTTGAATGAGGAAATGAATTTTTAAAAATGCTATAGATATGATTTTCTAAATTTAGCTAAATTAAATACAAAAGCATTAATATAATGAGCTAAAATCAAAATTGTCCTGACATGCAGTGGCCGCACAGTTTTTAAATAATGTTACACAGTTTGATGCTTGAAGAGAAGCTGAATAAAATTCACGATAATATTGATAATGACTGCATTTATTAGTGATCAAACTTTGAATTTATCTAATAAACGAATTTTTTTATATACTGTTACTTATTCAAATCAAAAAAAGGTTAAACCGATTAAAAATTGCAGCTTACAAAAAAATCGATTTTATGTTCCAAAAATGCATTGATAGTAAACGAAATATTCCAAGGTAGTACCTAATTAATACGAAGAATAATTCAAATATTAAATATACTTACAGATTTCAAATTGGTTCAAAAATAGACGACAACGTGATAAAAATTCATCAAACAGAAATCAATTTTCCCCCGCGCTGCCTATGCAATTTGAAAACTTCACTTTGTGATTAATGTGTTTAAAGTAGCTATGAAGTATATAAGTGTCCAACACTTTGTAAATTTATATTCAGTTAATAGCAATGAAATTTATAAACTCCAAAATGTGTTTGCATTGCTTCTTCTCAAACGACATAATCTCTCTTTCAGCTCTTTAACAAAACTTTGCAACAGTTCAGATCTGTAAGAATTGAGCTTATGCATTTTGGTTGAGAGCAGAAGTGAAGCTAATTACAGTATGTGAAGCTAATTAGCTTGTTCTATTTTATTCTTAAGCAAAACCCTTTGTAAGATTCATTTCTACAACACTTATTCATTTATTAGCAATTATTGGAATTAAAAAATTTGAATTATATTTGAAAATGAAAAAAATTGTGCATTTTTGTATATGCTGCCTAATTCTGATTTTTACGAATACTGCAAATGTGATTTCTTGCATTTTAAATACTAAATTTATCCATTTGAATTCAATTCTGAATGACACTATTGATTATAAGTTTGAGCTAATAAATATTTTCACGCGATGTGTTTCTGCTTAGTGAATAAATAATCTGATTGTATATGAGGTCAGTGAAATATTTCTGCAGAGTACTAGAAAGCAAATTGGAACTGATATAGCAAGTCATTGAGAGCAAGTAGTATTTTTAAGTATTACGTAATTAGTGTCTTCATTATTATTGCGCGAATAATCTGAAAAGTTGCTTGCTGACATTGACCTCAAAGTTGAATACTTGCAAAAAATTTTTTTAGTAGTAATAATATGAATATTAATTGATGATTATAATGAAAAATGTGTTTAATATATTCAGTGGTGTATTACATTACTGAATGTATAGAGATTTCTGAAATATTTAATTAATTTTTCATCATTAAATGACAATTTCATCTATTTGGAAGTTCAAAACCAACACTGACCATCTTTATTATTAATATCTTCTCCTAGTGAAATAGTCGGTACGTGCGTGAAAAAGGTAATATTAATATTTTATCAAAGATAATGAGAAAATATTTAAAATAAATTTATAAATGACAAATTGTTCAAAATTTCACTTGCTTAGATCTTATTTATAATATTATAATATTCAAAACTAATCAATAGTGAAATATTGGATAGAGGAAATTTTGGCTTCATCAAATAGCCGTCATTAAAGTTTGCACGTTAGAAAGACTGCAAGTAAAATTTGCTAATTACTTTGTCCATTTGAAGAGTGAATAGGAATTAATTGTAAACAATTTTACGTTTGAAAAATTATTCCGAATCAGTGAATAAATTTTACCCAAAACCTTTTCTCAGAGTTACTCTTTGCATTTTATTGCATCAAATTTGAAGTATTTCAATTTAAATAATTTAATAATTTTTTAGAATTGATAGTAGAAAAAGTGGTCTGGAAAATAGGTCATCGTGTTCTAACTCAATCATTTCATGTTGCATTCATTATTATTTCATTTTATTGTTATATAAGACATTTAAAGAGTAATGCTCTGGAAAATGTTCAATGTTCCATTTCTCAACTTTTTCATCAGTTATTAAAATTCTACTTGATTTTAAATCTTGAAATGACAGACATTTACGTGCTATTTTCTTTTTCCTTTTTATTTCTATACTTATTTACGTGAAGAAGTGAAAATAAATTCTTGTTCCTTATTAATATTCAATGCTTATTTTGCATAAAAATGCAAAATTTTATTTATCACTTCGTTTCTCATAAAAATTTTTAGCTAGTTATTGTCAACTATGCAAACAAACGTCTTTTTTTGATCAAAAATTATCTTCCAAATTTCTTTGCGTGTAAAAATACTGACTTATACCTTCGAATAATAATTCCTTCAAGTTTTGTATTCAATCTTTTATTTAAATATTTTACGTTAATAAAAGTTATTCTTGTGGCTTATGAGTATCGCTATTTTATTTCAAATATAATATAATTTTATGCATGCCAACTGTACACAATTTACTGCCTGTTGCGTAAATTTTAATTTTGCTGAAAGATTTTTAAGCTTTTTTAATTACTCATTGGTATTTGAAGACTATTTCAATTTCATTAGCAGTGGGATTTAATTTCGCCAAAGGAACAAAATCATATCAGTCAATGAATGACCCATGATTTATATAAAGTTATAAATTAAGAATATGAAAGACTTTTAATGAAAACACCAGCAAAAATATTGCTGTATATTAGCACCTGAGGGCAAAGGTTAAGTGAAAAGAAAAATAGACTAGTGAAGGCAAAGATAAAATTCGAAGTGAAAATTAACTGAGAAGATAAACAGTTAGCCCATATCATGTATGTAAAAATTTTTGTAAATGAAAATTTTTAGCTTATATCATATTTGGTAAATTTTTTATAATAATTAGTTGCTATTATCAATAATTTTTTGATCATTAAATGTATTAATTTAAATAGTAAATAATTACACTATTGTTTATTAAACTTAAATATTTTATTATACTTATTTATTCCCAGTTAACTTATCTTTTCCTACAAGTTATTCCATAAAGGTATTAAAATTACCTCATTCTAAAACGTAAGAACGAAAATACAAAAAATTAAAGAAAGTTGCTCAATTTGAATGGTTAATATTTTTTAATTTTTTATTTATTTCCTGTCATGTTCGCTTTCAGTTCAAGTTTAATTCAATTTTTTTGTAAAAATTGCAAAGATGAACGGATGAAATGAATTTGTGTGCTACGACGTAATATCATACTTCATTTCTTGGCTACTTTACTTTTTCTAAAGTTAGAAAGGATGTTGCGCAGAGCAGTACTGTTTTAATGCTTTTCTCAGTGTATTTAATGGATTAAATTATATGCTAAAATTTATTTTCAATAAAAGCATTTGACACTGCCAGAAATGCAACAATTACAGCTAATTCCAAAGCTAAAATATTACTTCTCTGAAATGCCTCTGAAATGTATTTAATTAATTTTGCAGTTGTTTGGGCATAGCACTGCATTTTGCTATAGTTACAGGGCAAAGGTCTAAGTAAAAGAAGGTTTGCTGACGTTACAAGTGAACTTCAACTTACCAAATCTGTAATGCTACAATATATCCAACTAAACAAGTTCAACAAGTTCATACTTGTTAAAAAGTTTCAGTAAAAGTTGCTTAATTTATAGATTAAATATTTCTGATCGAAAGATTTGTCGAAAATATTTGTAGCTGTAAGTATATTTTCTTACTTACCTATTTTTTTTTGCGAAAAAATATCATTTAAAAAAATTTTTTAATATTTTTATTTACTTCGCATTAACTTTTCATTCATTTCTGTGTTTAGTAACGTATTTTCCTATTTTTTACTAAATATATTAATCACTTTATTTCTCTTACAAAATAAAAATCATTAATATTGTTAAAAAACATACAAACTGCAAGTCATTTCTTCAAATTTTCGCAGATTTTTCAGCAGAATAAAACAAGTATAAAGCAAGTAAAATTTTGAAAAACAGTTTTCACATTTTTACTTATCTCTTTTGAAAATAGTAAAAGTAAACAAATTTAGAAAAGATTAATCCGAAAATTTTTGACTTTAATTAGAAATTACAACATTCATTTTTACGTCATGTCCATCGATGTATGTCGGTTTTTGCATCATTAAATTAAAACAAAAGAAACTTGTTTTGTTTATGAATTGAATAATGAAATGATCTAATGGATTTAGCGAGTTGATGAATTATCCATTTGATTCTATAAACTAATAAATTAGTTTGCTTGAGAAGTGAACGGATTTATTGAGTTAATAGTCTATTGATTTGAGATAAATAACTCGGACTGGCCGTTGGTTGGAGTTAAATAACGTGAACTAATTTTTATAAAATAAGTTGACTTGTTTTGTAGTAATTTCTAATTTTTGAATGATATATTGAAAAATTAGAACGTGTGAAATACTAAAAATGTTCGTACGTCTTGTTATTCGTTTATATTGCTGACAACAATATAATTTTTAGAAGTTGTACTTTGGCGCTATTATTTGAATTATCTAATCCTTTCAGGTTTAATTTTTGGATAACTTTCAATGTATATGCAAACTTGTTAAAATTTTTTGCGCTGATAGCTATTGTCAAGAATTTAGTACTTTTTTAAGCTATTGAGCAGATTTTTCTCATCCAAATCGGGTTTTAACGCATGCAAAATAAATAATAATTTGTGCTTTTGTAGGTGTAAATGTAACGAGTTAAATTTTCAAGTATTCACAGCTATTTGCATAAAATACATCTAATTATTTGGTAGGATTTTTTGAATTTTGAATTCAGATTGTCTTTGTAAATTAAGCAATATTGTTTCTTGTTTTCTACTACATCTCAAATTGAATTTAAACTTAAAAAATTTCCTTTAACTTGTAAAAAAACAAGACAAATAATAAAATTTTATCGAGAGAAATTAATCTAGTTTAGTAGATAAAATAATAAAAATTGCATAGTGAATTGTACAGTGGGAGGCATTTTGCTCCAATTTGTTATTGCATTCAAAAAATTAATCACTTATTTGCTAGTGTATTTATAAAGTTAGCTTCATGACATTTATGCTAATTTATAAACTGAAGACTAAATTTTATTACTTCTTAACATTACAAATCTTTGCTATTACTGTAAAAAGCTTTGTCAAATTGATTTTCAAAGAATACATTTTACGTTCTGAAATGTACTTAGTGCAGTGTGACCTTTTGACTATAGTGTGACCTTTTGACCAAGTGTATCAGTTTCATCTCCTAAAATAAGAAGGTCAGTTTATGTTTAGTTGTCTCGACTACTTTTTATCTTCGTTTATACTTTAATTGAGACTTCACAGCCAAGTTTATTCTTGTTTTTTCAGCAGAAACAAATCATAATAAAAATCAAAATAACGAAAACCGAGAAATGATTGATTTGTGCACCAAACAATCGACATTTAATTTGAGCTTGTTGCAAGTACATTTTATCCAGGAACTTTTCCATGAAAATTGCCAAAAAGCATAAAAAATATGTCGTCAATAAATTAAAAATTGATTTTTCGCACAGAAATGCATGCACTGTAATTTGTTTAATTTCACTGCACAGCACTGTTCCTTTAAAACTTCAGTAATTTAGACTGCAACAGTTGGAAAGAAAGTGTCAGTACTATTTGTAAGATTAATGACATTCCAACAAATTCAAAAAAATTGTTATCAGCTCTATTAAATGATAAAATGTTGAAAATTTCCGTTGTCAATGCCATTATTTGTGTAAGAAATTATAATTACTTCAGTGCTATCGGTCTTTGATTCTGCAAATTGAATACAATATTTTCTTCATTTAAACGACACAAAAGTTCATTAGCAACCCCTTCTTCAATAACACAAAACTGCTAAAATATGAAAAGGTCAGAGTTCATTGATTTTTCAGTGTATTATTTCCATTTCTTGCTTTTTGCTGTTTAGCTTATTCATATTTGTTTGCATGCGATATCAGTAAATTAAAAGCAGTTTTTTTGATAGATTCGTTCAGGTTCTCTCAATATTTGTAGTAATCTAGATAGCTCGGAAGATAACAGAAAATGATATCTACTTCAAAATTTTCTTTCATAAAATTTATTTCCTTTAAATCTTTGAGATTGAAGTTTGTTGAATACTTTACTTCCGTTTTAATTTACTCACTTTTTTACTCAAATTTAAACAATAACAAGATAATTTATTTGAATTTGGTTGCTAATAAAGTTTATCACACACAATATTTTTTTATAATTGAAAAACTGAATTGAATAATTGTCTTTCCAATGACAATAAAAGTAATTAACTGATAAAGTTTGATCAAGTGCTAAGATCAGATTTTTTTAATGGGAAAGATCAGATTGACTGCAAAAATCAGTCTTGATTTTTCCAAAAATATGCTTACTGTTATCTGTAGTATTGATCTTTCAAAAAAATTGATATTCTCAAAAAATTGTTGACTGAAAGTTGCTAACTTCTCTCACAGTTTGACATATGTGATGAATAGGCTTTTCAGAAATATGCTTGTCACGTTTTATTATTTTATTTTATTGGAGAATCTATTTACTTCTGTAAATTCCATTTATAATGTCAAAATTACTTCAAAATGTCATTTGTTAAAAATTAAACTGCAAGCACGACTAAATTTTCATTATTTGTGATGAAAAATTTTAATTTTTATTGGTGAAGTTCAAATTCAAGCTTGTTATACACTTACTTGCGTAAATTATTTAGAATATACATGCTATTCACTGAATGTATTTTTAATGTCAGTTTGTACAATTCAATCGAAAAATTAATGCATTTAAATTTCGTATTTACGATGGCGTATGCTGTAAACATGAGAGTAATGATTTGAAGACGCTAAAGTTGACTTTGTAGATAGAGCACTATTAGCCTCATTTTGCTGCTGATTAAAATCCCTTGGCTTAGCAAATTTGATACTTGTTGGAGGGATTTTTTTTAATTTTAGAATGTTTTCATCTCGAAATTATATCTAAATGCTTTTAGCTTAAATCTATTTCACCTTTTTATCATATTCACAATAATAACTGTAACTGTTTTTAAATGCAAAAATTGTCTACTCACTTTTGCACAATTTAATAATTGAATTATTTTTTTGCTAATTTAGCACAGATTTATTTACAAGCGTACACGAAATGATCATTCTATGATATGCTAGTTTTTCTAATCATTTATGCAGATTTTTCAAGTTATTCTGTGATGCGAGAATGAGTCTGCTGGAAATTAAAAATAGACTGAATAAATTCAAGTAATTGACTTTCTAAGAGAATGTGCCATCAATGCCTTACTGATCGCTCAGTACGTGACACCAGTTGCTTAACTTGAAGTACAAAAAAATTTGCTATCACTTGATAAAACTGAAATTATTGTTCGATGACAACAAGGCTAATCATATTGCCAACAATTTTCACTGCTGCTTCAATCGCTCTTTGGATTCTTATTTGTTCTGCACCTACTTGGTCTCAAGCTAATTCTGAAAGTAAGCATTCGATACACAATTACTTTAGAAGATTTTTGTTGCTAAAATCGAATTTTTGAATATTATTTTTTTTATTGCGTATTTTCGTTGCGAATTTACCAAAAAATTCTGCGAGAATGATATTTGTAGCATAAATCATCAAAAAATTGACTTCCATTTAGCAAAATAAAATTAATTGAAATGAACTATCCTTTTTACAAATCACATCTACAATTCAGTAATCTCAGAAATCACTTCCAAATTAAGCAATTTGCTGGCACGGATTTACAGATATTTTTATTCATTTGAATGAGATAAAACTTCTGTCTCGTAATCAATAGCTTTTGAATTCAAATCTAATAATAATTATTCAAATTTAGTTAAGTTAACTATTCTTGATAATACAAATCATTAATTATGTTATATTTGTTTTAGTTGAAATGAGTTGGAGTCCCTCTTGGCGAATGCCTAACGACTTTGAAAATTTCACGGCAATGGCTCAATCATTTCGCATGTATAAAGATCAACATTTCACGTACATTACGTCTTTATTCATTTTCGCTTACATTTATAAACAAACATTTGCTATTCCTGGATCGTTTTTCCTGGTGAGTCGTTTACGAATTTGTCAATTTATTCTCAGCAAATAATGCAATGAAAACAAATAAATAATACAGAAATATTATTTGCATCTAAAGTAATTTCAAGTTTGAATCTTAAAAAGCCCACTCGCAGTAATGCCATCTTTCGTTGTCATTGGCTTCTAATAATTATTAATAATAATTGTTTCTTAACTTTAAATTATTGAATTTATTTCAGTCTATCAAACTGTTAAAAGTTAATTCCATTACTTATTTCTACTTCAAATTTGAATATTTTAATCGAGTTTGAAATTTCAGAATTTAATAGCTGGAGCACTATTTGATGTTTGGTTTGGTTTAGTTTTTGTATGTACCTTAACAACAATTGGATCAACGTTATGCTATTTTTTTTCTGAATATTTTGCACGTGAATATGTATTTTATTATATGGGTCAGCGTATCGCTTATTTACAACAAAAGGCAATTTTATATTTGTGTTATTTTTTAGCTTTTTTTTTCATACGTTAATTAGAGCAAAGTTTTATTGTTATTTTCTATATTATTGTAAGCACCAAAAATAGCTATGACAAGCACTATTATTAATAAACAACTAGTATATATACCAAAAATATTATTATTTTCATGTAGGTAGAGGGTAATTCTCATAGACTGTTAGCATTTTTATTGTTTGCTCGTTTAATTCCAATTTCTCCAAGTTGGCTGCTCAATATTGTCGCACCGTTTCTTAACATTCCCGTTGTTATCTTTGCTATTTCAACTTTTATTGGTAAGTAAATATAAGAAATGTTGTTTGTAAATAAAATCAAATCGTTAAAAAGTATTAAAATTTAAGTTTTACCCGAATAAAATATATTATTACAATGAAATTGAAAAATAAAGCTCAATAGTAAATTTTGAAATCGTTTTAGAATTTAAACTTTCAATACTGAATTGCTTATGGCATAAATGTAAGCAACAATCATAATTTCAGTTCTGTGAACTTTGCTGTGATAAAAAAAAGACTTCAGTGATTTCTGTGAGTAGAAAAAATTGCAGGCTTAGCACCATATAATTATATATGCGTTCAAGCAGGCCATATTCTATCAAAAATGCACAGTTGGAATGATATTTTTAACACGACAACATTACTGAAACTTTCGCTACTTGCGATAATCCCACTTTTTTATGCTTTTTACATAAAGCCAAGGCATGAGGTCAAATATTTGTTTTTGTTTTTGTTTTTTTAATTTTGAACATTTCTTATTTATAATTACTCTTTTCACTTTTCAGTTTTATTTAAAAATTTAAAAAAAGCAAAACTTGATCAGTATAAGTGATAAAATTCCAATGAATTGATAATAGATTTAATTTTAAGGTCGAACCAATCGCAGGACAAAAAGAGCGCATCGAAAAAATTCTTATAATTTGACGCAAAATGTTATATTGAATTTGAGACTGTTTTTATTTGATATTTTAACAGAAGTTCAAGCAATGACTGCACAAATATAAATAATTGTTTATTTGTGATAAGCCTAAAATTCTCTAAAGAAAGTAAAATTTCCTTTGGTATTTTTAGTTTTTGAAATTTTATTGCTAAATTTATTATTGACTTGGTAGTTACGTTAAAAATTATATCCACTTAATTAGCCAATTTTTTGTGCTTCAAATATTAGATCAAAGTATTTTTTTAAATGATACCAACACATTTTTAGACTTGCTCTATCACACAGCTCAGATCATTCTAGCGTATTTCTGTTAGTGTAATATAATTCATCATTATAATAATAACACTTCACGAATATTGTTTTTAGTACGGCATAGAATTTTAATGTTATCTCTCTCGTAGCAGTTTTATTAATCGAAATTTGGATGTAAATTACGCATATTTATTAAAACTTATATTTATTTTTAATCCTTATCAAAGTTTTCGTCAAAGTCCTAACACGTCTGTTAATTTCATTTCGTTTGTGTAATGTGTACACACTTAATCAAACTTCAGTCTTGCTGTGAACATTTGTTAGTTCCAAGATATCTCTGCTTGTTATCCGTATTAATTGATAGTTTTGTTTTCATTCCTTATTATCATTTATCAGTGCCACTATTTAAGTCTTATGTTTTTTTTCGTAAAAGCGAAAAATCAAAAATTCAAAAGTTATCTTTTTCATTTCAACAATGTATTTTTTCATACGCAAAGGACAAATTTCTTTTGTGTTTTTTCCTTTCGTTAAAAATTTCTGTGAAGTAAGTTGTTTACAATAGATGTGATCACAATTTTGTAAAATAAAATAAATGAAATACGAATATTTATTATGTGAAAACAAATGCTAAAATGTGCGCATCATTTTTATTCACGTCGAACTGTTAATCATTTCCACTCTCTCAAATATCACTCACCAAAAGATAGTGATTTATAACAAAATCATTGGTTTGTTGGAAAATTTTTTTATATTTTTTATAAATGTTTTTTACTTTTTTTACAAATAAAGAATGTTTTTGATTTTTTCAATTTAATAATTAGCAAAAAGTAGAAATGATTTGTTTCCGTGGATAAATGTGAACACGATTGAATTGTGTTTGTAAGTTTTTTTCTGATTCAAATCATTTAAAAAGATAATCTTGTAATTCAAGTCACGTTCTGACTTTCAATTCATTTGAGAACTTTGCTCATAACATGAAGGCATTGTTGTCTTAGCTAATAAGAGAGAGCAAATGCAAAATTTACTGCTGTCTGGGATCTGAAATCAAGTCAAATTTGGTACTGCTCTGAATGAATGACCTGAATAAGAAAGTGACCTGAATTTGAACAAACGAAGTAATTAATTTCAACAGAACTCAAATTGATAACAGAAATCAAATGAAAATAAATTGCTAAAATTATTTAATATTGTTTCAAGCATATATTACAACCCATTCATACGTCGTCTTTATCTGTCTTTACGGCCTTTCATTGGCCCTTAAATTTTTCATTACATTATTCAAAATACATGCGTGAATTCATAATAACAAAAATATGTATAGTGACGATAAAGTTGACTTAAAATATTCACTATAAGACTTAGTAGAGTGTAGACATTATGTACGTATAGTTGAGAAGCACTTAATGTATGTACTTAGCTCGTAACCTCACACAGTAATATTGTGTCAAAGTGAAAATTCTAAGCTGTTAGCGTGAGTTTACCTTTGAATTTTTAACTTAAAAATATTAAATGTATTTAAAAAATAACTTTGAGGCAGTTATTTGTTACTTCATTACTGTGAAGACGTTCTTTCGTATAATGAATAGCCACTAATAAGAACTGACTAATATGAAAACCTTTTTGTTGACTAAACTAAATTGCGCTTTGTAAAATTCTAATTTAAATTTAAATTCTAATGTGATATGAATCCAAAAAATTGGATAATTAGACGGATATGTTGAGAAAGGCTATCATAAAAAATATTTAAATTGTAGCCACTAAACAAGCATGTAATAATTCTTCAACAATTTCTAGTAACTTCAAGAACTTAGAGTAAGAAGTCATCTAATTTCCCACATCAAGCAGTACTTCCGTTCATTTTATATATGTGTCATATTTGCTTTGTTTTTGAATTAAATTTTTTTACCGCGTAAAAATTTTATTTATAATATTTGTTTGGCGTACTGAATGTGAAAAAAATTTCACATTGCGTTCAGCAATATTTAAAAGTTTTCTAAATTATGCCAAATAAAAAAAGCTGTAATAATCGGCTCAGTAAGAGCTTATTTTACAAGTACGCCTAGTGTTTTCCTGAATTCATTTTCTTTAAAGTAATTTCTTCGTCTCAATCAGTTTATACAAAAATTCAAATGCATTTTCATTAAGTTAGAGAGGCAATTAATTTCAATTGGAAACAAGTTATTCAACTAATATATTCTGACAAAGTAGAAATATACGAGACTTTAATTTATTGAGAAATTAATGAAGCGATGAATAATCATTTTATTCTTCTAATCATTGACGAACGTGAAATTAACTTAAATTGGACTTCGTAATACTAAAAGGATTAAAATTTGAAATGTGTTAGGTTGTAATATTAAATATGCCAAATCTCTGTTATCGTCAAATGAAAAAAATCTGATATTTTTAGAAAACTTCAATTAATTGAAGAAAGAAAATACAATTTCAGTTTTATGCAAATAATTAATGAAAGAGATAAAATTGTAATTAAAATTTTTATTCATACTATAAATTAAATAAACAAGTGAGAAAAGATTAAGTGAAAAAATAAATTGGCATTTCAGAAATTATAAATTGTTTTATTCAATCTAATGTTTAAGACATATCATTATCAGCAATTTTTAATTATGTTAAGTAGTATGAGCATTAATCCTTCTTATAATACTACGATAATGAGTACTTTACAAATGAATTTTATTAATTGTCTTTGGTGATAATACTTTCGGAATTTCTTCGTTACTTTCTAAGAAAGATTTATTATTTTAAGTCCGTGCAGAAATTTTAAGGTGGAAATTTTACATCTGTAAAATGCAGTTATAAACTTGATATTTGGTGACATCACTTCAATAACATATCATATGAGAAATGTTTTGAGTAAGATAATGATTTGTATTAATTTACTAAAAAAACTTGCATAAACTGGTTTTAGTTCAACGGTCACTAAAAGCCGTTCCTTATCGAGACCATCCATCATGGAGAGAGTACAAAAGTTTGAATGCACACTTCACTTTCTCTTCATTTTTTGCTTAGACATGTTAGCAAATTACTTGTCCATTCTTGAGTTCAGGTCATAATTATTATCTTTTCAAAGTATTTATCAGATAATTGTTGTTAAGGTTGAAGGAGTTGATTTTGGAAGATGAATCCATTTTGGCTTATGATAATTATTGTTTTTATTTTCAATCAACAATTAATTTCTTCACAATCTATCCAATTATCAAATCGAACATTTGCAATTGATTACAAGAATAATATGTTTTTGCTAGATGGATCACCATTTAGGTAACTTGCTATTTGATTAATTGAACTAAGCAAACCTTTGGAAGCACTGAAAAGAATTGCAAGTTTAAACTGACATTAATAACGATTACAAATTAATTTTTGTTGCGAAAAAGTTTGTTATGTTTTGAAAGGAAAAAAATCATTAATTTTAGATTAAGAATCTTTATAGCAGTGTATTTCTATGATTAAAAAAACGTAAAATATCAGAAACTAAAAGTTAATCTCTTTGGTCGAAATTTGCGCTCACTTTCTTTTGAATATAATTCTACCTTATTCAATTTTTAAAAAAAGTAAAATTTACTAATTTTCAAGCGAAATCTGTTTAGTAGTGCTGAAATGTACAGTTATGACCAAATATCATTATTTTTTAAGTTTTAATATTTAATTTTGTAATTAGTAATTGGTTTTCTTGTCAAAGTTGATTCAGGTACATTGCGGGTAGCATCCATTATTTTCGAATTCATCCCGACTACTGGGATGATCGTATGCAACGGGTGCGAGCAGCTGGCCTCAATGCCATTCAAACTTATATTCCATGGAATTTTCATGAGGTTCGCAAGGCAAAGTAAGCACTAAAATTTTTGGTTCAAAATTGATGCAAAGCTCATTTAGCCAAGTAAGTACTACAATTTTCAGTTCTTACTGGCAGTTAATTCTCAACTTTTTCAGGTACCTATTTAGCGGGCAACGAAATATCACTCATTTCTTCGAATTAGCTATGTCTAACCAATTGTTTGTCCTTGTCAGGTATAAGCCATATTTTATCCTTGACGATTTTTTAATCAGATACTAATTGGTTGACGAGCAGAATTTTGGTTGTTTAATGTAAAAAGAAAAAAGTTTTTATTTGAGAATCGGCCCATACATTTGCGCCGAGTGGGAAAACGGTGGCTTACCATGGTGGCTTCTTCGTGATTACCGTGATATCAATCAAAGGTCATCTGATCTGAGGTGAAAAAATTAAACATTTATTTATTTATTTATTTATGTGTATTGAAGATTTTTCGTTAGTCGATTAATGTATAACTTAAAAAAAATTTATTTTCAAATTTAGTTGAAATCAAATTAATATAAATTAAAATTTAATACAATTTTTTTATTTTGTACATTGTTAAGGTACAAGAAAGAAGTGCAAAATTGGTTTGGTAAACTATTACCGATAATTCATCCGTATTTATTCAAAAACGGAGGGCCGATATTAATGATTCAAGCAGAAAATGAGTATGGTAGTAATGCCAATTGTGACCATGGATATATGCAATGGCTAACTGATTTGATTCGACATCATCTTGGAGCTGAAACAATTCAATACACAAGTAAGTCTTAGTTGTCCAATTGCAACTCAGCTCAATTTTGTATATTTCATCTTATCGCATGCAAATGTGATATTCAAATTTTCGGCATTAACTGGCTGTGTAAGAGAG